TGATACAGTTCAGTAAAAAAAAATCATTATTAATGATATCTTCCCCTACAGCACATTGTTTCTCCTGTCAAGGCAAAGCACAGAGCAGCCTTCAAAGGCAGCATGAGGTATGTGAACTTCATTCTGTCATCAGTAACCTCCATACGAGAATCACCATATGAGAACCGAGGTTTCTGCTGAGGTTTCCCTGCCTAGGATCATGGCATACATCCAATATTTCTTCAGTGATTTCTGATGCATTATTAATAATAATTCACCTTGCAGCCTAGGCTGTATGGATTTAATGGAGCAGTTTAGGCTATAAACTTCTTGGTTTTCAGATCGATCTTAGAGCCATGTGAGTAAAAGGAGGTCTCTTTTAAGTCATTTTATCATATCATCACTCTTTACTTTTTCTTCGATTATACTGAATTAGCTTGGCCTATTATGTTCTGAATTAGCAGCAAGGTGCCATTAAATCTCCAAATTGTGTAATTTCTAACTTCACATTCCAATAAAGAAAGGAAAAAGCTAATAAACCCCTGTAAAAGTCATTTGGGTTAGTTTGAAAGTATAGTACCTTAAAGCTGAAAGCAGATGTTAAGCATTTTAAGAAATAGCCTTTTCTAGGGCAGCTCCATACACAAAATAGTGTGTGGAACCTAACTGGTTTCACTATGAATTTTGCAGAGTGGACAGAGGGGTAGGCACATTTTAGTCTGTGCATGGCCACTCCCAGTTAGCCTTTGGCTCTAACCCTGGGCTAGGAAGATTGGGGTTTTTTTGCTAGCTACAACTAGATATTGAAGGGACAAACATGATCTTGTTATTCTTTCATTGAGTAAGCTAGACAGCTCTCAGCAAATTAGGGATTCTCAAGAATGATAAACAAAACTTTGAGATTCATAGTTTTCACAGTAAAGCAGTCCAATTTTTACTATAGGCTACTCGAACTGAAGTCTCCAGAGTTGTTTTGACTTAAGGCAAAAAAAAAATGTAACTATAAAGATTTAAGGCAACAATTTTTCCTTTAGCTCCCAGAATCCTTATTTAACATGTCAATCTTTGTTATCACCATATTAGCCTTCTGTACAAGCCATTAAGGACACATGCTGCTCATGTGACATTTGTGTTATTTACTTCCGCCACTGTGGGGCACACTTGGGCAACTTTGAGATGGATTTACATTCAAATTATAATGGGATCTGTCAGATTTATTACGAAATTTCTTTATTTTGGTTTTCACTTTCCTCTGTGGTATAAAACTGCATCTGATAAAACCATGTTACTCAAACTAAGCACCTTCCAGGTACTAACTGTCTAGTGTTTTTGATGATTGCATGGAAGCTTTTCTTGCTTTTGTTTAAATGTTCACGTGATTTAAAATGGAAGAGGGTTTATTATACCACTTAACAAATTGTTTTTCTCGATGCAGCCTTGACAAACCTTCAAACAGCCATTTGATTATTACTACCGCAGCAAGATTTGCCTCTCCTAGAAAAGGGTTTGTTGGCTGTGTCAAATACTGAACAGTACACAAGAGAATAATCAGTAGTTACATTGATTGGAAGAAAACACAAAGCTAATAACAACAATAATATCACAATATTATTCCAGGGTTATGCATTTTGATAATAACTATGTAGGCCCACTGCAACATAGTGATTCCCTCAGCTGAGTATGAACTATAATACTGCAGTTATTTGAAACATCAGTCTTAAACCCTCAAGGGTTAGGTATAGAAAACAAACATTTTTTTCCTTGTCATTAATGAAATTTCACCATTACCCAAAAAAAAAATCTACAAATTTTTATCTTAACTGTTACCTGCTGCTCTATACCACAAAAGCAATTTGCAAAAAGGACATAATAACACACAACTTCTGATTGGGCTGTAAAAATGGCTAACCAAAGCCATGACCTCACTGCTATGAAGCCCCAAAATAAGATGTTATCTATTTGGTTTTAGGTCAAACGTACACAAAAAGAAAACTAGGCACTCCTTTCTTTGAGTACAATCCTTTTCCTTCTTAAAACAATCATCAAGTGGTTTCCAAAATGGTTATGACAAAATACAACCAAACAAAAAAACAACAGTTGATGGGGTTTTTACAGAGACAGTGAAATATATTTTGCTATTAAACACCTCTATAGCCAGTCCAACAAACTGAGGTAAACTCTCTGGCTGTTTGCACACAGATCTGGCAGAAAAACTTCACCCTGGATGCGTGAGACAAAATGCCCAATCTGACGACATGTGTAAAGGCGTCAAGAAAAGGGCTTTGATTGTAGGATAATATATTTGGAGTCACAAGTGATGTGCCGCTAGGGCTGATTTGCCGAAAATGCTGTGTGACTCTAGTGCGACAAGTGGCATTTTAACTAAGAAAAAAAAACTGCATGGAGGAGGTAGAGGACTTGGGAGGAGGTAAGGAGTTTGTGGAGGAACAGCGTTTATGAGGTAGCCTTTTGCTGTAAACAAAAAAAAAACTTTTGCGGTAAAAGAAAAACTCATTAAAACTGGGAAGGAAGACCAGGAAGTCTGTGGCAACATTAGGGAACGTCTTGCACAACACCTCAGTATAACAGAGATCTAAAGTTGAGGTCATCAAAAAATAAAAAGAAATAAAATAAAATTATGTATATACAAACAAAAAGAAATGCACAGCTATGTATAACTCAAGAGGTAGTTGCTAATAGTACATCAATCGGTTACATATGTTTCTTCGTCATTGCTTAACAGAGTTTGTTGAGAAAGTCAGTGGATGATTCCCAAAAGAATAAAATACACTTTTTTGGTTAATTCCCTGAGAACAGTTCATCATCCTGAGAGAAATTGTGTGTAAAAATGTAAAAATACATCATATAAAAAGATGTTTCCATAGAGTTTCGAGCATGGGCTGTGCTCCTTCTGTGGTTTGGTCATTCACTTCTTCTTTTTTTATCTCTGTCATGCTGCATTGTTGAGATTTGATCTTTAACGCACGCACACATTCAAATACACTGTACATTAAATAAAAAAAATAAAATAACAACAACAACAACTGCTCTAATGCGCTTTCAGCAATAAGTTCCTCTTATTTGAAAGAGCGAGGATAGCAAGCACTTCAGCAAGTCTTAACATTAAATGCCTTCAAAAACAAAATAAAGCCACACTCTTTGGTATGGAAATATACCAAAAAATGTTGCTTGTCTACTTAGAGCTTTTAAAAACACACACACTAGTTTGATATAATCGTACAAAGTTATTTGATTTGTCAGAACATTAAGATACAACTCCAAAGCGACTCAACTTGAATTGTGTGAGGAGTCGACTTCAGATAAGCTCTTTTCACATTCAGTATGGTCAGAGAAGAGTTGTTAGGTCACAAATAAGTGCCACTAAAGCCATGCTTGGGATTCAAGTTATACCAAAAGCAGCACTCTTATTCTCTCTCTCTCTCTCTCTCTCTCTCTCTCTCTCTCTCCTTTTTTTTGTTTCAGTGAGTTTGAAGCAGCAGCAGCAGCAGTGATGTCACCTCATCCCAAAGAGGACTGCGCATTAACCTGGCTGGTGCTGGCTAACAAATGGTAGGCACAGATGGAAGAGGAACAGGTGGTTCGATCTTACTGTAACACGGCTGGGAGAGCAAACAGCTTGACATTCATTTTTCAAGAAGGATAGTTAGTGAGGTATTAAATAAATAAGATACAAAGTTAGTATGATGGTCTGGTACTACACCTGTAACAAAACGGTGAGCTTTTGTGCTGTATCAAAGGCGATTTCTGAGTATCTGATTTAGCAAATAAGGGAAAATATGGAGTTTGGGTGTTTTTTTTAAAGTCAGTTTGATTTGTCATGAATGAAAATGGTTAAATAGAGAGAGAGTTTTCACACACCAACAAAGCATCTCATGCAATATACACCTATAGATCAGAGCTAATTCCTTATAAATGTATTACTTAAAGTTAATAGAATT